CACACACACACATACACATACATATATATATAAAACTGTGAAATAACAAATAGTCATTAAAAGTTCTCGAGTAATTTTTAATGACTTGGAAAATTACTTGCAATACAGTAACTTCCTGCTTATTACCTTCCTGAGGTTTTCCACAACACTTAGCATAAAATCTGCACTCTTCCTTATGGCCTAATAGATGCTCAAGGTCTGGCCCCTGCCACCATTCCAGCCCCACCTCATACCCCTCTCCCCTTGCTCATGACACCCAGCACCACTGGCCTCCTTTCACTGCCCCCAAGAATGCTGGGTTCAATCTGCCTTGCGGTCTTAGCACTTCTTCCCCAACTACACAAATGGCTCATTCCACCTTGCCTTTTGTATAGATACTATTTACAGAATACTATCTGCCTTTTGGACTCCACTATCATCTCCCACTCAGCTTTTTCTTTTTTCTTTTTTTTTTTTTTTGGAGACGGAATCCTGCTCTGTCACCCAGGCTAGAGTGCAGTGGCGCAATCTCAGCTCACTGCAACCTCCACCTCCCAGGTTCAAGCGATTCTCCTGCCCTCAGCCTCCCGAGTAGCTGGGACTACAGACGCATGCCACCACGTGCAGCTAATTTTTTGTAATTTTAGTAGAGAAGGGGTTTCACCGTGTTAGCCAGGATGGTCTCGATCTCCTGACCTTGTGATCTGCCTACCTTGGCCTCCCAAAGTGCTGGGATAACAGGCGTGCACCACCGCGCCCAGCCTCCCACTCAGCTTGTTATATAAACATTACTCACCTGTTATCATAATGTTATCCTGTTTTATTTCTTTTTGAGTATGGGCCATGACTAGAAATTACCTTGCTTATTTGTATATTTTCTCCCCACCTCCCTGCATTAGAACATAACCTCCAGGAGGGCAGCTGGAGACCTCTTGTTTAACAGTACAACTCCAGCACTTAGGATATTGTACATGGCAGGCAATTAAATGTTCACTGCAAGACAGACTAGGGAAAATATTAGCAACTCCTATCAGGAAAAGGAATAACTTCCTTAATAAATGTTAGGTTCCTATAAATCAATGAAAAAGATAAACAGTCCAGTAGAAAAATGAGTAAAGGATATGAAAAGATAATTTACAAAAAACAGAAATACAGCTGACTCAAACATATGAAAGGTGGCCAAGCTAACCCAATATAAGAAAATTTAGAAATCAAAAACACAATTTCATGTTTTGGCCGGGCGCGGTGGCTCAAGCCTGTAATCCCAGCACTTTGGGAGGCCGAGACGGGTGGATCACAAGGTCGGGAGATCGAGACCATCCTGGCTAACACGGTGAAACCCCGTCTCTACTAAAAAAATACAAAAAACTAGCCGGGCGAGGTGGCGGGCGCCTGTAGTCCCAGCTACTCAGGAGGCTGAGGCAGGAGAATGGCGTGAACCCGGGAGGCGGAGCTTGCAGTGAGCTGAGATCCGGCCACTGCACTCCAGCCTGGGTGACAGAGCGAGACCCCGTCTCAAAAAAAAAAAAAAAAAAGATTTCATGTTTGACCTATTAGATTGGCAAAAATTCAAAAGCTTCATATCACCCTGTGCTGGCAAGAGGTATGAAAAAGTGGGTACTCCCATACATTGCCAGTGGGAATATAATTTATACTCACGTTGTCTATAATTGTCTAGGGAGGACAATTTAGCAAGATCTATCAAAATTACATATGGGCTGGGCGCAATGGCTCAGGCCTGTAATCCCAGTACTTTGGGAGGCCAAGGAAGGAGGTTCACTTGAGCCTGAAAGTCAAGGCTGCAGTGAACTGTGACTGCACCACTCACTCCAGGGTGACAGAGTGAGACCCTGTCTCTAGAAAGAAAGAAAAAGAAAATTAACAAATCCAAATTTAGTTACTTAAAAAGATCAGCAAGTTGGTAAACCTCAGACAGACTAAATAAGAAAAAAAGAGACAAGACTCAAATTGCTAAAATCAGAATGAGAAAGGTAATTACTACTGATCTGACAGAAATAAAAATTATTTAAAAAGAATAACTGAACAATTGTGTGACAATATTAGATGACATAGGTGAAATGGACAAACTCCTAGAAAGATACAAACTACCAAAACTAGCACAAGAAGAAATAGAAAATCTGAATATACCCATAAGAAGTGAAAAGACTGAATGATAATCCTAGCACTTTGGGAGGTCAAGGCAGGTGGACTGGCTGACTTCAGGAGATCAAGACCAGCCTAGGCAACATGGCAAAACCCCAGGTCTACTACAAATGAAAAAAAAAAAAAAAAAATTAAGCCAGGCGTGGTGGTGCACACCTGTAGTCCCAGCTACTCTGGAGGCTGAGGCACAAGAATCATTTGAACCTGGGAGGCACAGGCTACAGTGAGCCAAGATCGTGCCACTGCACTCCAGCCTGGGTGACAGAGACTCTGTCTCCAAAAAACAAAACAAAACAAAAGACTGAATGAGTAATCAAAATATCCCCTACAAAGAAAATGCAGTCCCAGATAGCCTCACTTTAGCTTGAGCAACATAGGGAGACCCCATCTCTATCAAAATAAAAAAATTAGCCACGCATGATGGCACATGCCTGTGGTCCCAGCTGCTCGGGAGGCTGAGGTAGGAGTTGGGCCTGGGAGGTCAAGGCTGCAGTGAAACGTGATTGTGAGTAACACTCCAGCCTGAGTAACACAGTGAGACCCTGCCTCAGAAAAAAAAAAAAGAAAAAAGAAACACATGGCTGGCTTCATTTTAAATTCTATCAAATATGTAAAGAACTAATACCAATTATTCTCAAACTTTTCGAAGAAATACAGAAGGGAACACTGTCAACTCATCTATGAAGCCGGCAACACCCTCACACCAAAACCAGACAGAGACATGACAGTGAAACCACAAACCAATATCGCTTACAAATATAGATACAAAAATCCTCAACAAAACAGTAGCAAACTAAATTCAGCAACACATAAAAAATATTACAAATGACCAAATAAGAATTAACCCAGGAAAGCTTGGTTGGTTTAACATCTGAAAACCAATCAATATAACACACAATAACAATAGAATACAGGAAAATAGACACAAAAAAATTTTGGCAAAATTCAACCCCCTTTTATAATAAAAAATACTCAGAAAACTAGGAATAGGAGGAAATTCCTTCACCTAAGAAAGAGCTTTTATTTTATTTATTTATTATTATTATTTTTTTTTTTTTAATTTGGAGGCAAAGTCTTGCTCTGTGGCATGCAATCATAGCTCACTGCAGTCTCCAACTCCCGGCCTCAAGAACTTCTCCTGCCATAGGTTCCCAAAGCACTGAGATTATAGGGAGAAAGGATCAGAGCACCCAGCCAGAAAGAACTTCTTTTTTTCTTTTTTTTTTGAGACAGAGTCTCACTCTGTGGCTCAGGTTGGAGTGCAGTGGTGTGATCTCGGCTCACTGCAAGCTCTGCTTCCCGGGTTCACCCCATTCTCCCACCTCAGCCTCACACCCGGCTAGTTTTGTTTTTGTATTTTTAGTAGAGATGGGGTTTCACCGTGTTAGCCAGGATGGTCTTGATCTCCTGACCTCATGATCCGCCCACCTCGGCCTCCCAAAGTGCTTGGATTACAGGTACGAGCCACAGCCCCCGGCCCAGAAAGAACTTTTATGAAACATCCACAGCTTAGTCTTCAGATATCAAAGAGGAGAGAGAAGAGAGGAGGAGAAGAGAGGAAAGAGGAAAGAAAAGGAAAGAAACGAGGAAAGGAAAGGAAAGGAAAGGGGAAAGAGAAAAGGAACGGAACGGAACGAAACAGAACAGAACGGAAAGGAAAGGGAAAGGAAAGAAAGGAAAGGAAAGAAAGAAAGGAAAGGAAAGAGGAAAGAAAAGAGGAAAGGAAAGGGGAAAGGGGAAAGGAAAGGAAAGGAAAGGAAAGGAAAGGAAAAAAGAAAGGGGAAAGGGGAAAGGAAAAGGGAAAGACCCACAGCTAACATCATACTTAGTGACAAAAGACTGAAAACTGGCCGGAGATGGTGCCTCACACCTCTTATCCCAGCGCTTTGGGAGGCTGAGGCAGGAGGATCAGTTGACACCAGGAGTTCGAGATCAGATTGGGTAACATGGCGAGACTCTGTCTCTACAAAAAATGAAAATAAAAAAGTAGGCCAGCCACAGTGGCTCACGCCTGTAATCCCAGCACTTTGGGAGGCTGAAGCAGGTGGATCACCTGAGGACAGGAGTTCGAGACCAGCCTGGCCAACATGGTGAAACCCCATCTCTACTCAGAATACAAAAATTAGCCAGGCATGGTGGCATAAGCATGTAATCCCACCTACTTGGGAGGCCGAGGCAGGAGAATCGCTTGAAACTGGGAGGAGGTTGCAGTGAGCCGAGATCACACCATGGCACTGCAGCCTGGTGACAGAGCGAGGCTCTGTCTCAATAGATAAATAAATAAATAAAACTCAAAATGAATAAAGGACCTTAATTAAACATAAGAGCTAAAACTAGGCCAGGTACTGTGGCTCATGCCTGTAATCCCAACACTTTGGGAAGCTGAGATGGATGGATCGCTTAAGCTCAGGAGTTTGAGACCAGACTGTGCAACATGATGAAACCCCATCTCCACCGAGAATGCAAAAAGTTAGCTGGGAGTGGTGGTGCACATCTGTGGTCCCAGCTATCCAGGAGGCTGAAGTGGGAGAATTGCTTGAGCCTGGGAGGCAGAGGCTGAAGTGAGCCGAGATTGCGCCACTGCACTCCAGCCTGGATGACAGCGAGACCCTGTCTCAAAAAAAATAAATAAACAAACAAACAAAAAGGAATTAAAACTATAAAATTTTAGAAGAAAACATAGGTATAAATAATTAACAAATAATAATAATAAATAGCCTTGGCCAGGCGTGGTGGCTCGCGCCTGTAATCCTACCACTTTGGGAGGCCAAGACGAGCAGATCACCTGAGGTCAGGAGTTTGAAACCAGCCTGGCCAACATGGTGAAACCCCGTCCCTACTAAAAAAATACAGAACTTAGCCGGGCATGGTGGTGGGCACCTGTAATGTCATCTACTCAGGGGGCTGAGGCAGGAGAATCACTTGAACCCAGGAGGCAGAGGTTGCAGTGAGCCAAGATCGCACCACTGTACTCCAGCCTGGGTGACAGAGTGAGACTCCATCTCAAATAATAATAATAATAATAATAAACAGCCTCTATGTATTCAGCATCTACTTTATGCTGGTCATCCAATCAGGCTCTTTGTTTACTCGTCTTTTTTTGTTTTTCCTTTTTGTGGAGAATGGGGTCTCACTATATTGCCCAGCAGGTCTCAAACTCCTGGGTTCAAGCTATCCTCCCACTTCTGCCTCCCTAAGAGCTGGGATTACAGTTGTGAGCCACTGCACCCAGCCTATTTGTTTTCTCACTTTTAAAGGTGATGTATCCCATTTAGCCCTTTCTCACCATTTCTGTTTCCCACTCATCTAAACCTATAGGCCTATCTGAAAAATATATTGTATTTTATTTATTTCTTTATTTTTTGGAAACAGAATCTCGCTCTGTCACCCAGGCTGGAGTGCAGTGGCACAATCTCAGCTCACTACAACCTCCACCTCCCAAGTTCAAGCAATTCTCCTGTCTCAGACTCCTGAGTAGGTGGGATTACAGGTGCCTGCCACCATGCCCGGCTAATTGTTTTTTTCTTTCTTTTTTTTGAGACAGAGTTTCGCTCTTGCTGCCCAGGCTGGAGTGCAGTGGTGCGATCTCAGCTCACCACAACCTCTGCCTCCTGGGTTCAAGCAATTCTCCTACCTCAGCCCCCTGAGTAGCTGGGATTACAGGAGCCCGCCACCATGCCCGGCTAATTTTGTATTTTTAGTAGAGACCGGGTTTCTCCATGTTAGTTAGGCTGGTCTCAAACTCCCCATCACAGGTGATCCGCCCGTCTCGGCCTCCCAAAGTGCTGGGATTGTAGGCGTGAGCCAACACGCCTGGCCTAATTTTTGTATTTTTAATAGAGACAGGGTTTCCCCATGTTGGCCAGGCTAGTCTTGAACTCCTGACCCCAAGTGATCCCGCCCACCTTGGTCTCTCAACGTGCTGGGATTACAGTCATGAGCCACCATGCCTGGCCTGAAAAAATATATTTTAAATGGGTAAAAAATAGCTTCGAGTGTCTACTTATAAATTTAAAGTTGTAGGCCGGGCGCGGTGGCTCAAGCCTGTAATCCCAGCACTTTGGGAGGCCGAGACGGGCGGATCACGAGGTCAGGAGATCGAGACCATCCTGGCTAACACGGTGAAACTCCGTCTCTATTAAGAAACACAAAAAACTAGCCGGGCGAGGTGGCGGGCGCCTGTAGTCCCAGCTACTCGGGAGGCTGAGGCCGGAGAATGGCGTGAACCCGGGAGGCGGAGCTTGCAGTGAGCTGAGATCCGGCCACTGCACTCCAGCCTGGGTGACAGAGCGAGACTCCGTCTCAAAGAAAAAAATAAAAAATAAAAAAAAATAAAGTTGTATATGTAGAATGCAGGTGTATTGTTTCTCCATTTTTTACAGTTTTTTCAAGACATCAAAGTTAGACATGAAATAAAACAAGGATGGTGAGTGACAAAACACAAAATGATATACCAGTCCTTCATTTCTTTATATTGATATATTCTACCCTATTAATGCCAAGTTCAAATGTGTTTAGTAAAGAGGTCATTGTAATGTAAGAGAAAAGAAAAAAAAAACACTATTTTTTTTTACTGGAGTGCAGTGGCACAATCCTGGCTTATTGCAACCTCTGCCTCCCAGGTTCAAGCAATTCTCATGTCTCATCCTCCTGAGTAGCTGGGATTGCAGGCATGCACCACCACACCTGGCTAATTTTTGTATTTTCAGTAGAGACAGGGTTTTGCCATGTTGCCCAAGCTGGTTTTGAACTCCTGGCCTCAAGTGATCCTCCTGCCTTGGCCTCCCAAAGTGGTGGGATTACAGGCATAAGCCACCACGCCTGGCAATTTTAAAATACACACATGTGTATTTTAAACATATGCATAGCGAAACTTACTATTGGAACCAGGAGGTGTCAGAAAGGGTCAACATATTTAAATCACAAGGTTGACTATTTTGAGACAAAAACAAATAACAAGTAGTCAACAAATAGCCATCTCTATTCTGAACAGCTCTGATTCTCTGAAGCTGTGGCAAACCACAGCAGAGGTTAACTGGTGAAGCTTTTGTGATTAGGGGATAATGTTTGCAAGTTTGCATGAATCTGCATTTTTCTAGGAAGAGGGTCAAAAGCTACCTTCAGATCCTTGGATGGACAGCACATTGTAAATATCCAATTAATATTTGTTGAAAGAATAAATGAACGGAATCCACAGCTGGTAACAGCCAATGCAACACCCAACACTGCCTCTTTGGTTTTACCTTTTATCACCTTCAAACTCCAGAATCATTCTAAGGTGGCTCAAGCACTCTGCTGCAACTAACTAAGGCAGGAAAATAGGGTCTGAAGGCAGGGAATCTAAGGCCGATTCACACAAACTTCCTGGAGTAGCCAGGCATGGTGGCTCATGCCTGTAATCCCAGCACTTTGGGAGGCCGAGGCAGGCAGATCACTTGAGGTCAGAAGTTCAAGACCAGCCTGGCCAACATGGTGAAACCCCATCTCTACTAAAAATACAAAAATTAGCCAAGTGCGGTGGTATGCATTTGTAATCCCAACTACTCAGGAAGCTGAGATAGGAGAATCGTTTGAACCCAGGAGTCAGAGGTTGCAGTGAGCCTAGCCGAGATTTCTCAAAAAAAAAAAAAAAAAAGAATTTGCACTCTGGCCTATGATTTGTCCATTCTAGGACCTTCATTTGCATAAGGCGCCAATCCCCACCAGTCTTGGAATGGCCGAGGTCCAGTTCACTGTGGCCTCTAATGGGCTGTGAGCCAGCCCTTCATCTACATAGGAGGTAACCAATGGGAGACCTCTAGAGGGTACTTGAACCCCAGAAGACTTTGCTACCAGGGCTCTGCAGCCACTTGCTCAGGCCTGCTCCCATCCTGCGACATGTACTTTAGCTTCTATTGCCTTCCACTTCAATAAATCTATGCTTTCATTGCTTATTCATGCATGATGTTCAATTATTTGTTCAACGTGCCAAAAACCTGGACAACTCACAATCAGAACCTTCCACCCGGTAACACAACAACTTTCTGTAACTGTTTTTCTGAACAAAACATGATACTATATAACAAAGGGTCTTACCAAGATTGGCAAATCCATCCTGAAGGGCCCATAATCGAGCCCAGGGGGCAGGGGCAGGCTCCTCAGGTTCTTGGTCCTCAGGTTCTTGGTCCTCAGGAATAGAATAGAGTTCCTGAGTGGACACTGTCTCTAAGGAGCTCAGTGTCCCAGAGCTGGAGTGAGAGGACTGGCTGGAGTTTGGCATCGTGCTGGTAGAGGAGCTGGATATGCCCTGTGACTGTGAGGAGGAACCCTGGGACTGGGTAACGCTGCCATGGGGCTGTGAACAGGTACTGCTGCCATGGGACTGCTGAGCCTCAACATCCGACTCCCGAGACATCACGACCTCAAAAAGAAAGTGTCCAACAACAAAGGTGAGTTTCGAGGCACAAGACTTTAAAAAGTAAACAATGGGCCTATTACAACAGCAACAGAGAAGAAAAGAAAAGAAAAGAAAAAAGAAAAAAGAAAAGAAAAGAA